TTCTTTCTTCTTCTAATTCTTCTTTCTTCTTCTAATTATTCTTCTTTTCTTCTTCTTGTTTGATATTGAAAGTTTTTTTAGCTAGAAAAATACAGATAGAGTCGATAATAATAACAATATTAACATGGCTGAGCCAGCTGAGAACCAGAGCTCTCTTAATGGCTCTTTTTCTTTCTTTCTTTCTTTCTTTCTTTCTTTCTTTCTTTCACATAATCCTCTTTTTCTCTCCTTCGTCGTTTAATGTTATTTACGCTTCATTATCGTAATCATTATCATCATCTACGTCTCTTGCTTCTTCGTCTTTCTCAGCTGTTGGGTTTTTCCATCTCCCCCTCTTCTTCCTCCCTTTCTCCTCTTCTTCCTTCTGTGGTGCTTCGTAATCTCTCTTCTTTTTTAGTTTCTTTCTGTTAAAATGATGTTCTTCCTCCTCCTCCTTCTTTTGTTCTTCCTTTCCTTCTTCTCGTCCACCTTCTGCTACTTCGTCTGCACCTTCAGGTACCAGTGTGATGGCGTGAGGATTCATAATTCAAATTTTCCACAAATTTCTTTTCTTGATAGTAAAAGCTTCCTCCTCTTCCTCCTCCTACTCCCCCTTTTTCTCCGTCTTTTTCTAGTTGGTCTGCGCCCCCTGGTGGTGGCGGTGTGAGGGTGTTATAAAGTGCAGAGGGCGCCTTGCCACAGCTGTCTTATGTAAATAAATAGATCCTCATCCGTCCCTCCTCCTCCCACCCCCCATTCCCTTCTCCCATCCCACTCCTTCCCCCCCTTCCCGTCCTGCACTCTCCCCCTCCACTTGCTGGTGGTTTTCTATTCTTTTATCTTCTTTCTCTTTGCTTCTTCCTCCTTCACCTCGTCTTCTTTCTCCACACCACTTTTTTTACTTCTTCCCCTTTCTAATTTGTTGTTTATTGCTGTATTTTATATTTATAGTTAATTATTTTCTCGTCTGTCATAATATCACAGACAGGATGAGGTAGGAAAGGTAGAAGCATATCCTCTTTTTTTTATGGACGCGTGGATTGTTAAAATAATAATAATAATAATAATAATAATAATAGTGATAATAATAATGATAATACTTGTTACAGGAAATGAAACGCCCGAAAAAAAGACCTTGAAATTCTTATGTGATTGATGCGTCTTGTTTGACTTAGGTCACACTGGTAACACAAAACTATGTCCGACCATGAACTTGGGGTTTTTTTTTGTGTGGTAGTAGTGATGGTGGTGGTGCTTGGAATGCTGTCTTAGCCTTGACCACGATGAAGGCATAGGAGGCTCTGTTTTTTCTTATGCATTTCTTTCGCGTGTGTGTGTATTTCTGTGACCATCGAGTGTCTGAAAAAAACCATAGGGATCAGCTGAAGATTAGGCACCCAAGCTTACCTCACCTGAAAATTAACCCGGTGTATACCTTTTCCCCTCTGAGCTGAATTATATCGTCTGGTTTTAGCCAAATAGTGTTAAAACTGACGTCCCCGTGATGATGGGGTAAGTGGAACGCCTAGTCTTCAGGTGATCAAAACCACTGGATATGGGGAGACAACTATTGGGTTTCAGTCATTATTGTGAACAGATGAAGGTCACTGAGATAGTTCAGCAGCCCTTGAGTACGATGATTTTATCCCTTGAGCACTATGACATCTCAAATACGACAACTTAACTCCTTTAAGCATGATGATTTGTTGACTTAAGGGGTTATGTCATCGTACTCAATGGGTTAATTTCCAGAGTCTCATTATTTTTTTCCCATAACGGTCAAAGATTGACTCTCTCCAGCTGCGGTTGAGTATCTATGTTCTCTCGTCACCATATTCTGGCCACGGTCTTTGTATCGTTACTTAATGAAATAGTTCTGGCGCTCAGTGAAGCCTTCATGGAGTGGTTTTGGCGCTCAACAAAGTCACTAATGAAGGGATTTTGATGTTCAGTGGTTTGGATTATCGATAAAGCCGCTATGGTGAAGGGGCTTTGATGTTCAGTGAAGCCGTCGTGAAGTGGTTTTGATTATCGATAAAGCCGCTATGGTGAAGGGGTTTTGATGCTCGGTGAAGCCTTCGTGTAGTGGTTTTGGCGCTCGTTGAATCATCCGTGACAGTATTACGAGACAACACACTTGTCTTGGACACATTCTTGGCCAGGTTTCATATCTCTGCCAGCGCCATGCTCGACCTTGTACTCTCACCTGCAGGAATAAGGCGCCATATAACGTTATCACCCACCCGTCTCTTTGTCCTTATCCATTTGAGTATGATGAATTAGCTCAATAAATGCGGAACAATATCTTAGGTTTCACGATGGTTTCATTACTAGAATACGACCACTTAATCCATAGAATACGATATCTTCGCTGATCGTGACCAAGGGATTGTTATCGTACTCAAGGGGATAAAGTACTCGTGGCTGTCATGGTTTTAGGTAGATCGGTGGTATAAGAGTGGATTATATTATATAAAAATAATATGTCGTATTTCTTATTTCTTACCGTAGAGTTCGATACCTTCACACTGGTTACTTACAGGAGATTTTAGCGTATCTACGTAGTTCACTCCACCACTCGACATTCCATGATTTATACTTGATAAATGATGATTTAATGAATTCCATTAATTTCCAACATCCATCTGAGTTATTGGTTATACTTTGTCATAACCAATCAGTCATTACCTTTAGTAATAATAAGATAGGATCACAGATACGGGACGATAAGTGCACTTAATTTATTTGTCAAGCTTCCATACAATGATTTACAATTTGCATGGATATATGATTCACTCACGTTCACGCTGTAATAAAATTAATCTTCTAAAAGAGGGAATTTTCAACTTGGGAACACATGTGATTACTCTACTGTGGGTATGACTTAACAGAGCCTTAATTCTTCAAGTGATACATTTACTACCAGCCTGGATTGCTTTTGTTGCAACCAGGCTTCATCACAAGAACTTCTTTCCACGGGCCATAACAACAAAAAGTACTCTTGGGTTACCACACATAGTCTCGTGTCACTGACAGTCACTGTAGACGGTTATCGCGGCAAGGAGAACTGGTAAGCGTGACTTGAATTAACCATTTAGGTGCAATAGACCAGCCCGGATTGCTTTTGTCGCAATCGGGCTTCCACATGTGATATTTCCACGGGGATAACAAACCTAGGTTAACCCGCTTAGTCTCGTGTCGATCACGGTCACTGTAGACGGGTGTCGTGCAGGAGAACTCTAAGCGTGAATTGATTAACCATTTACTGTTCTAATTTCAACGCGATTTACCATGAAAAAACCAATATTTCATTAAAATCTGGTTTGCATCGCCTTCCGGATCAATATCATAGACTATAAGTATGAGGTATTGTGGTATCGACTTACCTGACTCGTCCTCCGCTCCCTCGATGAAAGTTTCTATATTTGTTTCATTCAAATGTGATTTTAGATTTATGGCTTTTGAGTTTATCCGGTGGTATAAATTACATCCCGAAAATTCTATGTTTTGATCCATAATTTTGTATTTAATGAAGCAGACATTGGGGATTCTCTTATTTTTTACTGGGATTAACCCGCCCGGGCACAGGTCAGTGATTCACATCAGGCCTGGGGGCGAAACTATGATAGTAATAATTAATATAAAAATAATAAAAATACTAATATTAATAATAATAATAATAAGAGAGCCATGAATAAATACAATAATTAAAAAGAAAAAGATCAATAGTGGAGAAACGATGTATGTATGTTGTGTTGTCAAAGTAGGAGAAAAATCGAGACCTGCAATTGTGTAAATGAGGCAGAAAGTCAGATCAGCAACCTGGGACTAGGTCACAATTTTTGTGATGCCATATGGCAGCAGGATCTACCATTTGAGTGTGTAAATTTTAAATTACACTGATGACTACCTAAAGTTGATGATACCCAGGTGTCACTCTCTGTTACCTGTAAACTGTTCCCCAATATTACCTTCATGTGACCTGGACAACTTATCTTTCAATCGGTTGCTACAATAATTTGGTCTTAATTCGAAACTTAAGTGTTATTTACAGTGATTGTCTCAAGTTGTAGTATCAGTTAAGTACTGTACCGGTATTAATGTCTTATCACCGTGTTACTTATTACTGAGGCAGGTAGAAATTCGAGGTCTTTTACTATTAATGTGTTGTTTGTTCTACACGTAGGTAAACCGCGTGACGTCACCATATCACGTGACCATTTGCTTACGTTTTTCCAATGTGACCATACTAGGAAATTAGTTATTGTAAATAATGAAGAATTTTAACCCTCGTACGATAAAATTAGACAAAACGACATTGCTTTCTGAATTCATTAATTAGTTGACTCTTAAGATTAGATACATCGACCATAAACTGTAGGGATTGTACGTGAGTTCTGATTACACGGCTCAAGGCAATGTGTGTTTTGCTCCTTACTTCTCAGTTACCCTGTCGGTGTTGGGAGTGTGGCGCACGGCACGGGACCGCCCTGTGTAAGTACGTCTGCACTTGTTACGCTTGCTGAATGCTTGACGTCACAGTCGTAATCTTCGTTCAATAATTGGTGGAATTGTCGGAGAAAGTCCTGCAACTCTTATGTGGATTTTTTTATATTATACTTCGATTGAATATCCTCGCTACTTTTGTTTTGTTATAAAGAACAACAATCAGTGCACATAAGGGAGGGACACAGACCTTCAATATGGCATATTTATTTTTCAAATATATATTTTCTTCCTGGAGTGAGTGAAGGCATATTCATCCTTTCTCACACCTCATTACGTTAACTGTTCTGAGCTCAGAGATTTGCTGGATAGTTAACAAAAGACTCGCCAAAATATATCCAAATGAACATTATCCACCGCCTCAAGCTTCTGTAGGATTTTACACACTTAGTACAGAATATAGAGAATATGAACACAGACATAATCTACAACGTACAATACAATACAATACAATTATGTATCCCTTTGTTACACGTTTCTTGACACTTGATTTATGTCTTGTCATTTCTTTTCAGGTTAATCGTCTCGCCTGCTGATCGTTATACCACGTACGTATAAAGTCACCCGCCTCCTCCCTTTCTGCTCAGCTACAGACAGTTTATCTCCATATACTCATAGAACTCTGTTGCGATCTGTGGGTCGTCCTGGTGTCTCATTAATTATATTTATAGCCAATTTGGGTGTTGTGTCGCCACCTAGCCAGAAAGAATCTGCCTCCTTGGCGTGTAATTTCTTTGTATAAACTAGAGGAAGTTCACACGATACAAGTCTCCCCCGAAGGTCACTGCTACTCTTCGTGATCTATATTTTATTGTATAACTGAGAGGAAAAATAATTTAATAAAAAAAAAAATGCGGGAAATGAAGGAGGTAAATGATGGAGTTCGACTTTTTAAGTTAGAGAGTATAATGGTGATATGGTTAAGAATGTAACTGCGAATAAAAGTTGGAAAATTAGTATTGGTCATGTTCATTGCTGAGAGAGAGAGAGTGAGTGAGAGAGTGAGAGAGAGAGAGAGAGAGAGAGAGAGAGAGAGAGAGTAAATTAGGTCATACAGAGACAACAGCTTGACGTATAGATAACTTGTATTGATAACACCGTCACATAAAAACAATTTCATTCATAAGTAACCTCATCTTGAGATAACATCACGTACAGATAATACCACTTAGGTTTCATAGCACGTAAAGATAACCCCATCTCTTACACGTAACACCACATACGGATAACACAACATACAGACAGCATCACACAACTAGCACACAGAGACACACACACACACACACACACACACAACTAGCACATAGACACACACAAACTTCAAGACTCGCCTCTCAATACGTGACCAAAACTTAACACAGCAGCATAAGAGACAGACACCCTGGAGTGAAGACGCACATCAGACTCGATTTATAGAAAGGTGAGACGAGTGTTGATTTGTCTGGGGTCTGGAGACTTGAGGTGACTGCCGCCAGGTGGTTGGGATATTTTCCACTGTACGGAGATAAGACTGATGGTGAAAAGTGATAATAGTTTGTTTTTACAAGATATTTATACGTAATTAGCTCTATATTGTATAAGGGGATATTTTTTAGTGAGATTATATAGTCTATAAATGTAGGTGATAAAAGTAAATGTTGTGTAAGAATATGAACCCATCGAGTACGATGACTCGCCCCGTCGAGTACGATGACTCGCCCCGTCGAGTACGATGACTCGCCCCGTCGAGTACGATGACTCGCCCCGTCGAGTACGATGACTCGCCCCGTCGAGTACGATGACTCGAGTACGGTGACTCGCCCCATCGAGTACGTGACTCGCCCCATCGAGTACGGTGACTCGCCCCATCGAGTACGGTGACTCGCCCCCATCGAGTACGGTGACTCGCCCCCATCGAGTACGGTGACTCGCCCCCATCGAGTACGGTGACTCGCCCCCATCGAGTACGGTGACTCGCCCCCATCGAGTACTATAACAATCCACTGAGCACGGATTTAACCCCTTAAGTACGGTAACTTAGCCCAATGAGTACGATGACTTAACCCCTTAAATACGGTAACTTAACCCAATGAGTACGATGATTTAACCCCTTAAATACGGTAACTTAACCCAATGAGTACGATGACTTAACCCCTTGAGTACGATAATATAACTCTTATAAACGATGGCTGAACCCTTTGAGGTAACTCATTTAGAGACATAAAAATTGGAAAGAGAAAGTCCACTGCTAAATATTGTTCCTGCAACCAATGGTAAGAGTAATAATAAAAACAATTAAGATAAATAATAACAATACTAATAGAATGTTAATGATGATGACGCCAAAAACAGCATCAGGGCTCAGAATGTAAAAGGATGTGACCCTACCATATCATAACTTCAACAATGACTGGCAGACTCTTGTTTAGACTGTCACCAGAGTACTACACTTAATGTATCCACGTGTCCTCTTTTGACGTCACTGAAAGCATGGAGGGGGTGACGTTATTGGTGGGTGGGGCATAGGGTTGTCATGTCACTGTACTGGCAGGCAGATACGAGCGGTGATCTCACTGATTGGCTGGGCAAGGAATAATGACGTCATTTCTATTATGATCGGGGTTTATTAGGGCTGGCGTCTATTTGAACCAGGATCTATTAGAATTGGGGCCCATTTAACCAGGTAGTGTCTCGTGCTAGGTGCCAAGATCCACTCCAACCTCACTCGTAAATCCTGGTCACGGAGACTCAACGTTTCATATGTTACTATTATTTCTCCTGACAAATAATGGCGAAACGAGTTTAGATATAATGAAATCTCGCCTTAACTTCGGCGCCATTTTAATTTATATTTTGTGTCGTTGAGTAAGTGGATTTATTTGGTCTTTTTACATCATCGGGTATTTTTTATTTATTTTTTTTTTTTTGGGGGGGGGCGGTTAATTGCTATTTATCACGGGGAAAAAATATACCTTTGTGTGATGTAATTGATCAAGTGAATCCTCAGTCCTAATTGGTGCCAGCCTAAACTAATCACTAGGATCCGTGGGGTTAAACTACTGTCATAATAATCAGGTTTATCATCAGTATATGTTCACATTTTGTTCATGCCATAATAACTCTTTCTAATGTCCAGAGTCAGCACATACAGTATGTCACCTCCCACACCGTTCACTGTGTGTGTGTGTGTTCATGTTCCCTCACCTGCACGACGTACTCCGTTATTTCATGGAGTGTATTTTATTGGCCCACCGCCCGTTCATTGTTACACCCATATTTACACCTCGTCCATGCCCATAGTCACACCCAAACTGATGATCACGCCCACCTACACGTAAACATTCACGCCCGTAACCTACATTCCTTGCCTACACCCACACCACGCCAACTCCCACGATCTCCCGGTCACGGAATCTATCCAGCTCTGTATACGAGGTGACAGCTGACCGACCTTACCCACCACCTATCGATGGCCCCCCAAGGGTGAGCCAGCCACCACCACCACCATGCTCTATTGACACGCGCCTATATGTGTCCTTACTGCCTATATGATTCTATATACTCGTATGTGTAGGACCACATCCTATACCTATGTTACTACTTTGATGTCCTATCTTTATCTACTCTGTATTAGGTATTGTCTCCATTAGAACCCTAGAAATACCGCCCACATTTACTGGTGACCGAGTTGTGATCGCAGTAACCCGTACATTTATAACTGACATTCTATGAAATTTACATTTGCACAGCAAAATATAACCCAACAATACATAGGACGAGAGAAGTATTTCATTTCTTAATCTAAGTATTGATAACCGTAACCAGTCATCTAGATATACTGTATTCGGGGTGCTAGGGATAGTTTTCCTTTAGGGAGGGGAAGAGCTGCATAGATCATTTGGATAATATTTCTTTGTAATTGTCATTTATTATTATCCTTCCATGTGATAATTTTCCTGTTCCGTACTCTTCTTATTCTTCTCTGTGTTCAGAAATCTTACATTTCTCACGAAGTCCTTTTTCAGTGTCTTGGTGTCTGGGTCACAGGACTTCGTGAATAAGTGTCTTCTTTCTGTTCTGATTTGCCTTACTAATTAGTCACGGTGTTTATAATTTCTTCTGTTTTAATTATAGTCTTAACTTAATTTCCTTATCGCTAGTGCCTTAAGTGCCTTATCACTGGTACCTAAATATTTGGTCTATTAAGTTAATTACTTGTTTTACCTTCTAACACTCGTGATCCCTCCAAAAAATATATTGAAGGCTAATCCAAGTTAATCGTATGCAATTATAAGTAAAGATGAAAAAAAATATATATCCCATGGAAGTTCAGCAGCAGATATTTAGGTCAGTCTTTGTCCTAAATGAAACCTGATCATATTTATAGCTGGTGGTAGGGGATTACATCCCATCTTAATATATCACTGACACTGTAATCACCTCATTCATACCTGGACACTGACGTTAATCACCCTTCCGTTAATTCCCTTGTTTAGTCACTAGAGTTAGGGCATTTTGTACTTTCCTGCCAATCAGCGGGTGATCCAGGCCTCGCATCACATACTCAGAGGAAGTTGCAAATGCCCCATCATCTAATCAGAGGATGGGCAATTACAAACATAACTAAAATAACTGTGTTGTAGTGTTATTGTGTCTCCAATTGGCTTAGGTCTAACCCGAGGGAGAGTTTGTTGTGTTGTAAGATCACACCAACTGGAGACTTTGTTGTGTTGTAAGGTCACACCAACAGGAATCTGAAAGAGATTGTGTCGTAAGGTCACAGGAAGAACGTGTCATGTACTAAGGTTACATGAAGAGTGTGTCATACAGTAAGCTTCCAACAATGATAGTTTGTTGTGTTGTAAACTCACAGGAAGAATGGTCGTGTCGTAAGCTCACAGGAAAAGTGTGTCGTTTAGTAAGCTCACAGTGTGTGTCGTGTTGTAAGCTCAGGGGAAAAGTGTCATGTAATAAGCTCGTGTAGAGTGTCTTTTCGTAAGCCCATAGGAAAAGTGTGTCGTGTAATAACCTCACAGGAAGAGTGTCGCGTAGTAACATCAGGACAGGTTTAGTAGTTCCCCGTCACCGTAGGGACATTTCTAATGCCAATGGATTCTCAGTGTAATTTCGACACTCTCTCTTCCCTTAGTTTGTGTAATAGCCAAAATATAATTGCAAATGACAATCGCATTCCTGTTAGATACAACCGGTTTCTATTTTGATATTTATAACCACAAAAATTCAAGAAACACACAACTTCTATAAATATTTAGCTGTAAAATTTCAAAGTTGTGCCAATCATCGTCCTTAATTCTAAAATGGTGTAACGTCACTAGAATTATGAGCAGAAAATATGTAATTGATTTATAAGATGAAGACAGTTCTGTATCTCATTAGCTTTAATTTGTTGGTAGACGAGTGTGATTACTAACCTAATTACGCGCTTGACGGCTTTTAATTACTTTTTTTGGTAATACAAGTATACAAAATCCGTCTCCACTCCCTAAACTAAGATAAACAGCTTATTTAATGTTCCAAATCGTGGTAAAAAAAAAAAGCCATTACATAT